CAGATCTGGTTCTGCCCGGTATCGAGAATGTTTCTTTAGTCACTGCCAATCTTGAGCTGTCAGCGCTACCATTACGGGGCCGTAACATAAAGGTCACCTATAGATGTCAGGTTACCAGCTATTACGTGACCTAACCTAGGTGAAGTCTTACGTCTCCACAGCGAACGAATGCGAAGAACCTTTCAGTGTCATTACGGAGATGTTTTAATCATTTGGCGGAGTTTAAGGTTACGTGAAAGCTCAAAAATCAATACCAGTTCGTCCATATGGCTTTTTTTAGCCATTCAACACCTGAAGGCATAATACCTACCGTTTAAAAAGAGCTCAGGAATCAAAAGAGCATCAGTAATGAATTTGAATGGCAAGAACAGCCAATAACTTTACGAGGTAATTATCATAAAATGCGCTCAATCTTAGTACGTGCACTACCTCCAGTCACCGGTAAACACGGCACCTGAAGCCTGTAAGCCGTAGTACAGTACTTTTCGCATCACCTGAACTTAGTCGTGCTGTCTCTGAGAACCCGGCTTTCTTTAGACTGAATGGGTGTCAACAGCACAGTTCGACTCAGAGTTTTACTTGACCTTCTGTTGGTGAAGTGTCGTGGTAACTGGGACAGAGCAAATTGGGGAGTGCCCGAATACCCAAGCACCAGCCCCCCCCCCCGCCCGCTCTAGCGGGCGCCGTGTTGGGTTGTTTTGTGCACTAGATTGTTGGCATGGTAAGCTAGGGACGTTATAGCCGGCCGCTAAGTTAGCGAAATTTGTCCGCAAATGTTATACTGTATATCTCAACTAGAATACAGGTTTACGCGATAACTGTATGTTTTGATATGTATGATTAACGGATGCATTAGTTGGGTGTAGAAACTTTGAACTGTAAAGTATGATGGTGATGCATGCGATGCAGCCGGTCTTGAGATATAAAACTGGCCCGCTGCACGTGCGCACGCGCTAGCTGAGACTCCAGATGACTTGTGCCAGCCACCTTTCTAAATTGTCCCCAACAGTGAACAAAATTTGAGCGAAATCGGCCCAGCCGTTCTCTAGATGTAGAAGCGGACCCCTCACGTGCGCACGTGCAATCGATCCACCCTACCTGTTACAAATGACCATGCATCTTCAGGTTAGCGCCCCCTCCACCCACAGTCCAAATTTCAGCGCAATCGGCCCAATAGTAGCTGAGTTATTCCTAGTACAATCATGTGCTGTTTACTGGTAGGCGTTTATTTTCAGTGTTTGGAATTCCCCTTTGCGGGTGGTGCATTGCAGCCCATGGTTTGATAGCTATTGTCAAAAGTTATATGACCTGCCGGCCATAAGCCATCGATCGGATTTCGTCGAAAAATACCTGTAACGTTAACAAAACAGGGTCGTATGCTTGAGTCATTTTCAGAAAAGTTTATTGACTTTTTGATAATATTTTGGGTGGATATTGGTCAGAAAAGAATGCTCTTTCCGAATATGTAGGTTTCATAACCATTTATAAGCTTTTTCAATACGTTTTGATGTTGTAAAGGACACCGCGCTCCACGCGAATTAAATTTTCAAATAAATCTTTCATTATTAAGGAAATGGTACGGATCATCACTTTTTATTTCCTTTCCTCTGATTGCACGTACATTTACCTGCAAAGTGGTACCACACCGATTTCATTCCGTCAAACTGTTTTCCAGCGGCACCGGTTTTCTTCCCGCAATGCACGAAATCGGTCATTTTTTCACAACCGGAGGTATTGCCTTGCACGTGACGCGTGCTATACTATGAAACCATGTCAATACGCTAGTTCCATATCTCCTCTATCCATTGGTGGCAACCGCATGTCTCTGCCACCTCGTTTCGCCGAGTAATAAGCTCGAGAAAGGAGCGCTGCAGGCCCAATTTTCGTCCGATCGGCATGTCAGCCAGCCCCGTGTTATCCCTATGGAAGCGCCCTTTTGCACGTGCCGACGGCGCACCCCTGGTCCGATTGCGCCCATTTTTTGATACGATGGTCCGTCCCACCCAAAGTTTGTGCCCAGTAAATTTCACGTCGATACGCGGCGCCGTTCCGGCGCAAGAAGACACATAAGGCTGACGGATGGACAGACAACTTGAAATTTATTAAGTAAGACTAGAATACAGGTTTACGCGATAACTGTACGTTTGGATAGATATGGTTGATGGGGCCATTAGTTTGGTTGTCAAAACTTGTATGTTTATATAAGTAGGGATGTGTTTGGTAGTTACTTCTCTTAATTGTATAGTAGGTAGGGATGGCTTTTCGAGGAGCACTACGAATCCAAAGGTTTGGACATTGAATTATTTTAAAAAAAAACACGCCCGCCCGCCGCCAACCGCAAACGCCGCAAAAATAAAAACGACCGCCTCCAACCGCAAACAATACCGCAAACGCCGCAAAAAACCGCCCGCATCGCGCGCCCGCCCGCCGCCAACCGCAAACTCCGCAAAAAATAAAAACCGCCCGCATTGCACGCCCGCCCGCCGCCAACCACAAACGCCGCAAAAAGTAAAAACCGCCCGCATCGCACGCCCGCCCGCCGCCAACCACAAACGCCGCAAAAAATAAAAACCGCCCGCCCGACCGCCGACAACCGCAAACGCCTCGAAAAAAATGAAAACCGCCCGCATCGTGCGCCCGCCCGCCCGCCGCCAACTGCAAACGCCGCAAAAGTAAAAACGACCGCCTCCAACCGCAAACAACACCGCAAACGCCGCAAAAAATAAAACCGCCCGCATCGCGCGCCCGCCCGCCGCCAACCGCAAACGCCGCAAAAAATAAAAACCGCCCGCATCGCACGCCCGCCCGCCGCCAACTACAAACGCCGCAAAAAATGAAAACCGCCCGCCCGACCGCCGCCAACCGCAAACGCCTCGAAAAATGAAAACCGCCCGCATCGTGCGCCCGCCCGCCCGCCGCCAACCGCAAACGCCACAAAAAAAATGAAAATCGCCCGCATCGCCCGCCCGCCCGCCGCCAATCGGGAACGCCGCAAAAAAGCGCTATTCTACCCATATACATGTCCTACCCTACCTATACCCTACCTACACCCTTCCCATACCCTTCTCATAGGCTCTTTTCCCACCTTACTCTAGTGCATTCCTATAACCACCAGTAAGTCGTAACATAACATACCTACGTTCTTAACATGAGCACTGTAAACTACTCTAATTGTATTCTATCACATTCGTTTGTTCAATATCATGGGTATTATTAATGCTGTAAATGGTGAAAGGTTGTTCTCTTGAAGATTGCCAGGTAGGTAATCGAGTGCGCATACCTACCCAATAACTAATAAGTGCGGCTCGCAAAGCCGCCCAAACATTCCTTTTTACTCGCTAGATGGCAGGAGCGTCAAGCGCCTGAATGGACGCTGTGCCGCAGTGCCGCGTCTGCCGTATCACCGCCTGAATGCACACTGTACCGCAATACTGTCTCTAGGGCATATGCACACATACAGATGGACACGTTTGTTTTGAAATTATTTTTTTTTTTAAGTGTGACCAGATTTACCCCGAGAAACTGATCCTGAATACGCCTCTAGCTAAGGAAAAGTCGCCAAATTTCCAACCCCTAAGGCGATTTTCCATCGACAGCAAAAATACTACAGGTGGGGGCCGATCCCCCCACCCCACCAGTAATAGGGTTGATTGATAATAATGTCTGATACTATGAAAAAGCAGGAATAGCTATAAGCAATTAATGTAACCCTAGCTGATAGCTGCTAAGAAACACACTAAACCTAATCGCACCAAACCTGCACCAAATTTGTACTTACCAGATGGCCGTCGTGAACCGGCTACTATCCATTGCGTGGCCACTCCACCTTTCCTGTTTCGCGCTAGATGGCAGAGCCATCAAACGCCTGATTGCATACTGTACCGCAATGACGGTGCTGGCGAATAAAGCCGCCTGAGTGCATACTGTACCACAATGTCGTGTCCGCCGCCCAACCTTTCCTTTTACGCGCTAGATGACAGAACTATCAAACGCCTGATTGCATACTGTACCGCAATGTCGCTTCTGACGGTTATAGCCGCCTGAGTGCATACTGTACGGCAATGCCGTGTTGAAAGTTAGTTCGCTACTCTTAAATGAAAACACAGATTAGGGTGGATAGTGACGGAGAATGAGCGGCAGAGGATTTAGAAGCATTGAGACACATTATTAAGTAAGACTACATGCCAACTTTCAGCGCAATCGGCCCAGTAGTTACCGAGATATTGCAATTGTTGCAAAACCAACACCTCTTCGTTTTGCACGTGGCACGTACATAAGTGGTCACCCACGTACATCAGGAATAGTCTAATGCTTGGTAGAAAGAATGAAGCTACCCTACAAAAATTACCGCATGTAAATCGGTCAAGTGGTTGCTGAGATATAAGCCTCGCAAAAGCGTGACCACGGCCGGCCGGCCTAGAATACTGGTTTACGCGATAGCTGTACAGATTCGAGATATATGTTTAAGGAATAAGGGGATTATTAGTTTGGTTGTTAAAACTTGTATGTTTATGCCAGTAGGGTTAAGTTTGTTTACTTACTTCATTTAGCTGTATGGTAGGCATGTAGGTATATGCGCTTTTCGAGGAGCGCTGCAGATCCGAAAAATTGCTCGCTTCGCTCGCACTTTGCTCGCTTCGCTTGCTCGGTAATAAATTTATTTTATTTACTGGTGAAACCTGAGCCTAATACCTGTACCTGCACCTATACCTGATGCTAATCGAAAACCTGTATTCTTTAAATCCACAGAGTTGACTTTCCGAGCTGGCTCTCATCGTTTTCACTCAGTTTGGCAAGCGAAGAAAATGAGCTTAGAGCGCGTGCTCTCTGCTCGGCGCCGGCCTCGGCCAGCCTGGGGCAGAGATGCACGCGCTGACGCCGCACCCGTGGTCCGATTGCGCCCATCTTTTGATACGATGGTCCGCCCCACCCAAAGTTTGTGGTCACCAAAATTCACGTCGATACGCGGCGCCGTTCCGGCGCAAGAAGACACATACGGCTGACGGACACGCAGACAACTTGTAATTTATTAAGTAAGATAAAATGTAACGAATCATACCCATTGTCTGGATGCCTAAGCTGCTGGCCTTTCAACTGCAGTTGTCATTCACATTGATAACGGCGCGTGCGTAGGGCTGCGCCGTTTGCACACGTATCTTCTTCTGACTCGTGATTCATATAATAACATGTACTCTTATGCAGTCATATTCATGGAAATATAGCAGCTTAGCCTACGGTTGATAAAAGGATGCAGCTCATAGGTAACCACAAGAACAAATGCAAATATAGTGAGCCTTGAGGCGTGCCACATGTGTATTTTCTACAAATTCTGACCAAATATCCCCAGTGCGTGGTCACACGGCGCAAAACTTGCCCTCCCCTGCCTGCTGATATTGCCCAGACAGGCGACAATGTATATCGGTCACATATCGACACCACAACCAGACATCAGGTGTCGACAGCACAAAATGCATGTTCGGTGTGGGCAGTCCACTGACACGCTCACATTTATCCATTTCTTGACTACACAAAATAATACATTCGAATCCCAGAAGCAATTTTCTGTCGATTGGTATTCATCGCTACCAAGTTGGTGAAACTCGTCTGCCGTCTAGAAATAAGAGTACAAGTCAGCTCTCCCTTTCTCTCTCTATCTCCCTCTCTCTCCCTCTCCCTCTCTCTCTCTCTATCTCCCTCTCTCTCTCTCTCTCTTTCCCTCTCCCTCTCTCTCTCTCTCTCTCTCTCTCTCTCTCTCTCTCGCTCTCTCTCTCCTTCTCTCTCACTGTCTAGGAGGAGTGGATGGAGCCGACCGTCAGCGAGGAGCCCTCACTAACTCCCGACAGACTGGCGCGGCTAATGTCCCGACGGCGCTGTTTCTGTCTCTGTAACGTCAACACTGACGAAGACAGGCTCGAGGACTTGGAGTGTGCTCCACTACCGCTACCGCTGACGCTCGCGCCGGGCCGCCCCGTCGGCAGCTTCATCTCCAGCACCTCCTCCAGCGAGTTACACAGCAGACCGAGGCGGCGCATACGCGTTGACACGATCAGTCCGGCGGGCTGTGGCAGCGGCGCCAGCGGGTGCAGCCGCAGCGCCTTGAACGGCGTGCAGTCGCGCACCAGCTGCGTGGCGTCCTGCTGCCGCCCCAGCAGTCGGTTTGTCACCAGGCTGTTGCGAGCCGGCCGCGGAATCGCCGGTATGCTCACCTCGAAGTAGGTCGGTTCTGCCTCGGCCATGGCGCGGAGGTAGCTCTCGATGGCCGCGCGATCCTCCTGTTCGCTCCTCTCCTGCTCCTCCGGGCTGGAACTGGCCTGTGGTGACGGTGGTGCTGGTTGTGGTGACGGTGGTGACGACGGTCGGGGGCTCTTCAGTGCCCCTACTGCTCTGACGGCGGTCTCAGCGGCGGCGGCGGCGGCAGAGCGTCTCGGAACAGCCGCCGAGGATCGCCGACTGGCGCGCCGGCTGCGTGGGTCCCCGGAGGCGGCCGATAGACGAGAGCCGGGCCGCTCCTGCAGCCGTGGAGGTGCTGTCAGAGGGCTGACAGGGGACAGTTTAGCTAATCGCACCATACCTGAGTGCTGACGTCTCCTACTTACGGGTCTGTAAGAGCCAGCATACGGCGCCATTTACACACCCACGCCATTCACACACCCAAGCCCGCCTCACCTGCTGACGGCTGGCGCCGGGTCCGTCAGGAGGGCGACGTCGGCAGGGCTGCCGCACCAGCAGCTGGTTCACCACGTCACTGGAGAGCACCAGCACGGAGCGGTGGTGCGGCGTGCTGGTGACGATGGAGCGCGTGCCGAACTCTGCCTGGAGCAGGCGGCGCTCGGGCGGCCAGGCCAGCAGGATCGACTGCAGCAGCACGTGCTCGTCAGCGTCCCAGACGTTCACCACCTGCGGGCGGAGTCCGACCGGTCAGCGCTGAGCCTCTGACCATCAGCAGCAGTCAGCTTTATATAGCTCCGTGATCATAATTCACAAATGTATCAAGCATATGATTTTTTTAAAAATAAGATTAATTTGGAATAACATGGCGCTTAAGATATTTTGCCTAACGTTGAAACGGTGACGTAGTATTGACATAGTACATTCCTCCCGCTGCTAACTCACGGCGTCCATGTCCACGCTGATCACTGCCGCCTGAAACTCGTGCATGGCCACGTCTACAATGCGGCTGTAGTGACCGGTGAGTGTGGCCACCGGGCGGGCGGTCACCACGGGGTTCCACAGGCGCACCAGTCGGTCCTCCCCACCAGTCACCAGCAGCTGGCGGCGCCACGAAAAGTCCAGCACGCGCACACCCTGATCGGAGACGGGGAGGAGCGGTGAAGCAAATTCAAGAGAGGCTAGACAAACACCTCGTTTCCATGACACGTCTACATCGATTTAGATAAATTTCACGTGCGTTTTTCTTGGATGTTATTCAACTTCTGCAAAAAACGAGTGTAATGGTTTTAGCTAAGCTAGCACCTAGTCCTATATTTACCTACATTTTTAAATGCTGCCTAAATGCTATGATGAAGCAAATCCATGTTGTAAAATTGGCTTAGCTTGTGTCATGGAAATGTAGCCACTGTTATATAGTCACAACGAGTGCAATATATTTGAGAAAAACACATTACCAGGTTTGTGTGACCCCGTCAAGGATAAAACGAATCAGTAGCCAGTGGATGGTCAGCTTTAGACGACGCATTTTATGTCAATCCCTTTCGCTCGGGAGTAACTTTTTCAGGTGTTTATTACAGATGGCATATGTAGATTCTGTCCGTACCGGTACAAAGGGCAAGTGTGTGCTCCAACAGTACATAGCTGACAATTATTGGAATTTGGAAGTGGGTAGAGGTATTTTTATATCTACCTTGGGAACGGCGAACACGTAGTCCTTCCACCGGGAGTTGAGCTGCTGCATGATGACGGAGGAGGCATCGTCCTCCGCTGACGAGATGACGGTCTGGTTTTTGGCGCAGAAGCCGATCGAGGTCACAGGACTGGTGTGTCGTGACCTCAGTGTCACCAGCTGCACGTGGCCCGAGTGTTCGGACATCTCCTGTCAGCGAAGGCAGGTTCAGCGGTCATGCTCGATCAAGTGGTGGACAGCTAGGTGTCGGAAAGGCCTCAGGACACCCGATGCTGGGAAATGTACCTCACATAAAGTGCTTAAATAGCCACATGGAGGTCGTGCGGATAAAATGAAGATGTATTTTTTCAACTAACGGGAAAACCGTTTATAGGGGAGGATAAAACAAAAACGTCTCCTGCCCCGGCGCGGGTTATTGGCACTAAAAATTATTACCGAGCAAATCTCGTACAGAGCGAAAGGCGATTGGTTGGTTCAGACCTCGGGCTCGCACTGAAGCCCAGCCAGCAATTCGGTTGGGGAAAGTGCGGGGACAGTGTTGGGGAAAGCTTGGGGAGAACGTACAATTCCCCTATCGGATCGGGGAACGGTCCGTGTTCCCCATCCCTTCCCCGACTGTATCGGTAATATGTTCAAAAGACATGGGGAAATCACACCGATGCCCGTACGGGGAAAGAGCAGCATTCCCCAATCAAACCCCACTGTTGGGGTTCGGTGGGGTAAAGGATCAGATTCCCCGTACGGGGAAGGGTGCGTTATCCCCGACCCATTTTCAAGAACAGTTTGATTGGGGAAAAGTAGGGGAACTGTTGAAATTCCCCGCTCGGGATTTTACACTTAATCCCCAGACGAATCCCAACCGCCAGTAGGACGTCTTGAGATCGACTTCCAGCATGTAATATAACAAGTATTCAATAAAGAAAAATTGAATCTTGGGAATGTTAAAAGCAGTCTAAGGAGCAGTTCTAGAGCTATAGGCTCATGCATCGATTGAAGGGAGATATAATAAATAAAAAATATAACGATATAACGATTTTTTATAATCGTTTTCATGACAGGTGATCTGGCGAATGCATCAAACAGTGACCAAATTTGCACCAAATCTCTTTTTCATATCTTCATATCATATACCTATTTATTTCAGTGTTTTAATCGAAAATAATGTCTGATAATTTTATCAAATCGGCACCGTATCTGGACCAAATGTCTACCAATTGTGTACCAGTTACCTATCATGAAAACGGTTATTCGCAGACATTTGATTGTAGACATTGGATCTATGTAATTTTCGACCTAAAAGAGAGGAAAAGCCGTCTTGGTTTACGGGGCCTGCTAAGCCGTGTGGATGAGGACACGCATACGCCATTACTTTGAACGAACGTTGCAGTGCCCTTATTTCATGAGGTAAAAACAACTTTGACAACTTTCAGGATCTATGTTTCTTCTCACACTGCTGTGGCATAAACATTACGTTTTCTTTCTTCTGTCATCACTCATCGCATTGAAATTACAAAATCATCAAAATTTCAACAACACACTGCTTACGACTTAGAAGTGTCGCCTCAACGCAGCGAGGGGAGGGGAGGGAGGGGTAGCAACGGCCGGCCGCCGTCGGTTCCGTCCGCACATCTGGTTGAGGGGCGTCTCCTGTCGCCATCTGTCATCGTGAATGGGGCCGTGCCGACGCGTCAGACGGGACGAACGGGGGAAGTCGGTCCAGAGTCACTGCGCTGCGCGGTTGTGTGAGCAAGCCGTGGGCTAGGTACCGCTCCAGGTCAGACAATGGTTGGCACTGAAGAGTGCGGCGACACTACAGAGCTGTGAACGAAGACGGTAAACGGCGAGATGTGGTGACCGCTTGACTGACCTGTGCCCAAAGTCGTGATCTACCGCTGGGGTCAGTGCGTGAGAAGCTGGACTCGGCAACAACGGAGGACGCAGATCGACGAGGAAGATATGCTGTGTTGGTAATGAACTAAAGCACTTAATTGTAACGAATCATGATAGATATAAAATGACGATGATACTAACTCAAATTTATTGTAAAAGACAAAGCTTCCGATACACACAATATCTTGATCACAGTCTAGGGTATGCAGAATATGACGTAAAAATGACTGAGGTCATCAACCTCCGTCTGAGATTATCCTTAAATTGCCCGGACAATATAATGTCATCAGCCTAATGCTTTATCTGCTTCTGTTCTAGAGGGACGTCTGCCGGTTACGACCGGAAGGCTTCCGACGGGACTTGGCAGAACCCACAACAGCAGTATGAACCCGGCGTGGAGTTAATGCGTAATTGCTCGCATGAGCAACCGAAGAGCGACTTCCAGGCGAAGCTGGTAAGCAGTTTATGGGGGTGGGGGTTAGCTTAGAGCTGTTGAACAACCTGTCCTTCACCCAAGTCTAAAGGCTGAGACACACTCTTTCTACAGCCAGAAAATCTCATGCGAGAGCCCATTAATTAAATACATGAAATCACGATCGCTTACAGGGATGTGCGAACGATTGACGCGATTGTAATAAATACATGTATTTGAATAGGCTTTCGCATTCCATTTTTTTTTTGTCTTCGGAAAGAGCCTGTTTCAGCAGCTCTACTAGACAGCTCTGTTTGTGAAAGGAACTTCATTGTTATCTTGATAAACTAGCAACCGATTTTAATTGTCAAACGGCGTTCATTTATCTGTCAAGTGCTTTCGCGAGGAACTTCGTAAGGCGTAATATAGACGTAAAACATTTATTACCTAATGACTTTCCTGGAATGAGAAATGTTTAGAAGTACAAATTTAATTATTGAATTTTTATTTCCTCTTTTAATTAACTATTCAAAGTATATCACATTCGTTTTTTAAGCACTTTTCGTGGGAACAAGCTATAAATAAGTGTAATTTCATAAAATGGCATTCAACATGTTTCAGCGTAAGCTGAAGTTTCCCTAAAAGGACATTTCATGTAGTAGCTAGCTGTAAAACCTGATTGATATACCTACAAGTGCACATATTTTTGTTTTTGTCCACAGCCGCAGAATTCCTGGAGATGCGCTGGGACATGGATCATAGCAAGGTGGCTCTCAACGGCATCTGACCGCTGAGATGTGTCTGAAACAGCCAGAAGGAAGACTCCAGTTGTGGATCCAGGGCACTACTGAACGGAAGGCCGGACCAGCTGTAGGGAGACTACAGAAAAGCCGTCGTTCTCAATCTGCTGAACAGACTCCTACTGCAGAGGATCAACTGGGGCTCGACGTGTTAGAACTGGGGTTAGACCGGTTACCAGTGCTCGTGTTCGTCACCTGTTGTTTGTCACTGCTGCGCTGCTGCTGTAATGTTTGCCACCTGCTAAGCGTTCACAATGTATTTTAAGTGAATAATAACTTTTTTAGTGTTTGTCTTGATTTGTAACGAGTATATCAATTATCAAGCATGTTAACCTTTCATCAAATGAAGGACTCCACATAAAAATAGTATAGGCTGTGGTGGTACAGACACATACCATGCTTGGCCGACTGTTGTGTATTGATCTATGTAGTCGTTAAAGCGTCTTGAAAGTCTGGAAATAAACAGGCATGGCCAAATGGATTGGTTCTAATTATTTTCCTGTGTGGTTTTATCGTTTCCCTATTGCGGGGAAACAAGTGGACAATTTTGTTTGTATGTAAACAAGTATGTTTATACAAATATTTGTATGTTTACAGACAAAATAAATAGTCATTGTCAATTTTAATGGGACCCGATTTGTTTCCCAGTGCGGTTTATTACTGGCTTCTCCGTACGGGGAAAAAAGGCAGACAAGGCAGTAGGGCCATTGCCAAGTCGGGGAACGGCCGGGGCTCGCGCGGGGAAAAGGTCTGGGAACGTTAGGGGAAAATCACGGTTTCCCCGATCGGGGAAGGTCTCCAGTAAGTATAAACCCGTATAGCCGGGTGGGGGAATGTGCGGGGCTCGCACAGGATCTTCTTGGGGAAAATGTTCGATAACCCCGTACGGGGAACCGACCTTAACAACGGGTTTTAACCATAGTCGGCGCGGGGGTAGCCTGGGGGACGTTTGGGGAACGCTTGGGCAGTTATACCGTTTCCCCGTACGAATCCCGCACAAAGTTCCCCGTACAAAGTGTCTCAAATCCCAAGCGAACGCTCCGTTTTCCCCAAGAGAACGGTTGGGGTTTCCCCGAGCCTGCCCCAAGCTCGCCATAGGCCTTCCCCGTACGGGGAAAGCTCCGATTTGCTGGCTGGGAGCTTTACTTGATTTGCCACTATGCATCTTTTTTGTGCCAGTGTTTTGATACAAATGCAGACCAGAGTCGGGGTCACTTTCGAAATACCGATACCAACGTCTGTCTCCACTCATAATAAGTTCACAACCAACATTAGAAGGTTGAAATAATGCATGCAAATTGTTTTTGACTATCGTAACAATTTATGTTGTACATGGACGCCTTTTCACATGAACTTAAGCACTTTGTCTGTCGCTATATAGGCAGTATAAGTAGGCTACTAATTATAGGCAGCTGCTTTGCGGTGCTATTTCAAGATCACCTCAGTCTGTTTTAATCTCCCATTTTTATGTCATGTTAGAAAACTCTCCCCCACTTGACAAACTCTGGGGCGTCAACCACGCCAATCAAGTTTTAATTAAATTTAAACCTTTGATGGTCTCTGGAATTTTTCAAGTCGGAACTGATGAAAGGACAGAGTTTAATTATTTCTAGAACGATTTAGGGTGATTAAAACTGTTGTTTCATCCCCAATATATATGCATGAAGTCGTTTTTCGTGTAACTGAGCAAGTGCTTCGATATAACCTTGTTCGGATTCAACAAAGGCTCGAATGCACAACATGCTGTTAAGGCAACGTATAACCAATGCAACAGAATTTCGACATTTTGATCGTAGGATGACGACTGACATACAATATATGACACCCAGTGTCTAGAAAACACATGTACGTAGGTGCTTATAGATAGCAATATTCATACGCTACTTGAGGTCCAGATAGTTATATTGAAAACACACATCCAACTTGGATTTAGAATGTCACCCACTTAACATTGAAAACCTTGTGTAGCATTGTTTCAAAGGAACGCGAAAGCCGTGGACACTTATAAAACACTTTGGAGGGTCGCTGCTCTAGCACCACCTGCCTTTGGCTGTACTTCAAAGGACGCCGTTTGAAATAGCTCCGCGCAAAATTCGCGACTCACAAAAGGTCAGGCTGTGGCGCTGTTACACTTAGCTTAGTTGGGTGCGTGTTTTGTAGACCTCTTGAAATAGGCTTCTGTGCATCTTTTACGCCGAGTTTTATTTGCTTACGCCGAGCAAACGTTGCCGCTGAAATTTTTCACTCGATGGAGGGAAATTAAGTGGAGCTGGTGGTTTCCGTATTCTACCATCTTCCCATTTCGTCCCATCAATCTGCTTCCTCAACAATAAATGACATCAACTACTTTCCGATTGAGCGTTGGAATAGCCACAAGTGCGGTCACCAGCACTTGCTACTAATCACCTCGTTCTCGGTCACTAGCTTGAAGACCGATCCATGCTCAGTCGCTCACGATGCATCGAATGATCCATTAGGGCGTCCGATTTTCGAATATCTACCTTGTTTTGGTATCTTAAAAGCATTTTGGGATGAAGAGACTAACAAACTTTTTCGCCCTTTAGTGTGCCCTAAGAAGTCGTAGAACCTAGCCCCACCTCTGATCCACAGACCACTAGTGCCACCTCTTGTAAGCCGAAGAAACCACCGAGGTAAATAATGCCCCATGACCGTTGCACACGTTGCATATACTAGGCAGCCGTAATGGGGAAAGCGGGGCGGAGGCGTGGCGAGGGACTCCATCGGTCGTCTGGGGTCAGGGCCCTGCCAACGCTGCCACCGCTGCCAACGCTGCCAGTGCGTTGGCATTGGCAGTTTCACCAACGCTGCCAGTGCGCTGCCAGCGCATTTCGCGAGCTGACGTCATACTTTGTGGTAATGTTGGAGATACGGGTTTGTTGATGTCTCCATGGAAACCCAATTTGACACGTGTGCTGGTAGCGCGCTGCCAGTGCAGTGGCCGTGAAACAGGGCCCAGGTCGTCGGCCGGAGGGTGTTTGGGCGGTTGGGCCGTGCGGGCTGGGGTCGGCGGAGAAGGGAGCGCCTGGAACTGTCTGGAAACGAGCCCTATATCAACGCTGTCCAGTTGAGAATATAGGGAAAGGGAGAAAGAATGCTGCGTCACCAATCTCGGAGTGGAGAGAGAGAGAGAGAGAGAGAGAGAGAGAGAGAGAGAGGGGGGGGGAGAGAGAGAGAGAGAGAGAGAGAAAGAGAAAGAGAAAGAGAAAGAGAAAGAGAAAGAGAAAGAGAAAGAGAAAGAGAAAGAGAAAGATATATATCCGTTGTCATCTTCGCTTTGATCTTTTCCGACGAACACAACTGTTGTTTAAAGAGCACAATTCACTGAAGAAGGTCGCATGGCCTTCACATTTGGATCGACAGGTGGTTGTCAAATGATTGTTTCCATTAAGTTATGTTCAATTTGTTTCCTTCCGTCTTGTTGCGATGCTTGCTAACCGGTGTATGAGGCTTCAAGAACGCCACACAAAGCAGATACTCTATTTATATTAGGGCGAAGGAAAAGTAATCATCCGATCGCGGCTGACATAAGCGCGGCGGTCTAAATGATCTCCGAGCGGGATGAACGGATGAAAAGCGACGGGAGCAGTTCAATAAACAAACGACCCGGAGCGTCGACAGCTCTATGATGCCCCTGACGCTGCGCTGTGTATAATTAATTGAGCCGCCAGTTGTGTCAGGGACTGTTTTCGCTAGCCACGCCCCTCCTACCCGGTCTCTGCCGAGATATAAAGTGTCAGGCGGCGCCGGCGTCAGGTCACCATAGCCCGTGACTGTCGTCGGCTTGGCCGCTGCTCTGCTCGCGGCGATGTGGCCGTCCGTCTCGGTGTTTGTCCTGCTGGTGAGCTGTTGGCTGAGTCCGGGCGGCGCCGGCGCGCACGACGTTCCCCTGGAGTCGGCGATCGGAGCCGGCCCGGAGCGGCTCCAGGCTGTGGAGCAGAGGCTGTCGCAGCTCTCAGCGCAGCTGGCGCAGCTGGACGGCCGACTGGAGGCGCGGCTGGCGCAGCGGGCGGACGGCGAGTGGCGGCCCGAGGACTGCTCGGCCGTCCAGCAGCGGCACAGGCTCAGCGGCACCTACACCGTCTACCCGCCCACCTGCGGCAACGGCGGCGGCATCCGCGTCTACTGCGACATGGAGACCGACGGCGGCGGCTGGACGGTCATCTCCCGACGCGACGACGTGCCGCACCACCAGGACTTCAACCTCAACTGGCAGAGCTACAAGTGGGGCTTCGGCAACCTCAGCGCCGAGTTCTGGCTGGGCAACGAGTACCTGAACCTGCTGACCAGCGTGGACCAGGTGCAGCTGAGAGTGGACCTGAAGGACTGGGAGAATCGCACGGCCTACGCCACCTACACCCCGTTTTCGGTCGGTACAGAAGAGCAGCAGTTCGCCCTCTCAATCGGCAAGTATGACGGAACCGCTGGAAATTCGCTGGCATATGTAAATGGCATGAAATTCACTACAAAAGATCGAGACAATGATAAGACAAGTCCCAATTGTGCGGTTCAGTTTCAAAACGGATGGTGGTTTAAGGACTGCTTTAATGCCAATCTTCTTGGCAAGTACAGTAAGACGGCAACGATTCCCGCCTGGAAAGGACTGGTATGGAAGGACTGGAAAGGTGAAAAATACTCCTTAAAACACGCATCAATGAAGATCAGGCCGCTTCACCATACACAGTGGTGTCACAGATTGCTGTGAGCTGTGAGTGACCATTTCAACTGATGATGATGATGATGATGATGATGATGATGATGATGATGATGATGATGATGATGATGATGATGATGATGATGATGATGATGATGATAATGATGATGATGATGATGATGATGATGATGATGATGATGATGATGATGATGATCATAGCGAGGTGGACTGGACATGTTCATGATGCAATAAAGCGGGCACCAGAAATGGTATTCGATGAACTGAATAGTGCTACTGAGGTACTTGCAGAGTGACGCTCTCGGTATTTCTACTAGTTGATTCACTTTGGACATGTTGCTGGGCTGAGCTTGATGAAAGGGCGTCTTTATCTTAGCACCAATATGCATTCATGCACTTGGATAGTCAAACAGGTGTTGACTGAGGACTCATCGTTTTAGAGCGCAGGCTTGCCACAATTAATCGCGTCTCTCCTTATTGAAGTATCGTCCTCTTGCGTTTCTATCAAATAAATGTTTGGCTTCACCAGGCTACATTTTCTTACACAGATGTGTACTGTGTAGACTGCATAGGTACTATATAGGCACTCATTATTGCTTGTGTGCTTTAGAAACTCGACTGCGGCCCCAATGACCATGACCACTTGACAAATGATATTAAATCGATTTTGAGAATCGGCGTCGAAGCGAGTTGATGTGGACTGACGTAACCTGCAAGCAGCTTACTATCACGCTCGAAAATAACGTGCACTATTTTTGCCTATAATAAATGATTTATCACGAAGTGATGATAATATAATGCTGATAATTATTTAATAATAATACATGCTTATCATGCTTATAATAATGATTGATGATGATAAAATGCCTGAAACGTGATTTTGTGGATATCGAAAAAATATGGTAAGTACAGTATGTCTAAAAAGAATGTACCGTCGCCAC